TATATATATATATATATATATATATATATATATATATATATATGTATATATATATGTATATATACATATATGTATATATATATATATATATATATATTCAGTTCACCGAATGAAGGCCCTTTGTTTTTCTGCTATTCAGACATATTTTTTTACTTATGTCTGCCCAATTGAATTGCCTGCTTCTCTAGTAGATACCAAAGCGGAAGCCCATACACTTCAATGGTGGGATCAGACCCCCTTTGAGAGGAGTTTTCCCCCATAAAGGACGGTTTTTGCCTCAGACTCGTCACAATGCTGCACCGCTTCCACTGCTCTCAGTGTGGGAGCCGTAAGCACAGAAGAATGCCTGTTTACTCAGCCCTTCTCTAACCGCATTAAAGTGCAACTCAGCCTGTGCGTCTCACTCCTGTGATCCTAATCCCTGACCCCGTACCCCACCGACCACCCCAACACTCAAGTACACACACACACCTGCATTTTAAAAGCGTAGCGGCAGGTAGTCCTAAACTGAAGTGGCCCAAACAGGACAAACCCTGTACTTTTGGGATTTTGGCACAGCAACCGTGTGCAAAATGCACAGTGATCGCCCGCACAGAGTCGGGGTAAACACAGACCTGCTTTGGTGGCTGTTGAGGAGTAACAGGGATAGATGCGCTTTGTTTGGGTTGCGGCGGTGTCACACTGAGGCGGATCGGCCAGTTTATTGAGCGTGTGCTAAAATTCACTCGAGCAGCAATCCACACCTGCTACAGCGCCGGCCATTCGGGTTTCTGCTTTTCTGTAACAAAACAAAACAATTTTAAATTAGTATAGAGAAGAAATAGTTATTTAAATAATACTAATAATAAATTAATAATTAAAATAGATTTTATATTTCTATATTTGCTATGTTTTTATATAGTTTTTCTATTTTATAAAATAATAATGAGTTATTTTATGTTGTTTTTGCTTAAACTATGCTATTACTTTAAGACACACACACACAAACAATACATTTAAATCTTTAAATAATAGCTTACTTAAAATCTAAACATGCCGTACGTTTGTTTACACATTTACGTCATTACTTTGTATATTATATAAATATAAAAAATATTAGAGTATTAAAATATATATATATATATACTTTTACATGTAAAGTATTTAATGTAATAGCATAGTTAGAATTAAAATAATTGTTTAAAAATTAAAAAAATTACTATAACATTTACTCTATAGTTACGATCACATTTTCTTCATCATTTGTATCACTTTATTTAAATAAGCACTGACCACTAATAATGCACAAAACTGCTTAAGATTGAATTGTTTCGTTATTTTAAATTAATTTGTAATTTAAAACAACTGTTAAAACCTGGATTTTTTTATTATAATGCAAAAATCTCCTAGGTTTGTAGTAAAACTGTGAGGATCCTCCATATTGTATTTATTTATTATGTAATTTGAATCAGATTTTTTGATCGCACCTACACAGTGTCAGTGAGAAGACTGTGTGTGTGTGTGTGTGTGTGTGTGTGTTTTAGTTTGTGGTGCATTCAGTTCTGCACTAGCAGCATGTCAGGAGCACTCCAAGACCTCAGAGAGATATTGAGAGTGCTCTCTGGACATGCAGAGCTTTTTACCAAACTGTTTGTCTCATAAATAAAGTATGGGTCTTCATTAGGAGAGGGCACCCACTTTAAAGCTGCCTGAACCAGAGGCACGCCGGCCTGAAGAGAGCCTGGAGTACAGTAGGAGGGAGCAAAGCAGCCAATTTAAAGGCATTTAAATCAGAGATGTCCCAGAGCTCACTAGCGTTAAATAAACCCTAATCAAAGAAGTGCCTGGCTGTTTATGTAAGCCAAGGAAGTGGGCAAAAGATGTTTTGTATGGAGGAAAATAAAATACCTAAGGGGTATAATTCTGTTATTTGAAGAATAAAATGTTTTGTTATCTGTCACATTTGGGGTTGTTGAAGGATTTCAGAATATTTAGTTGTATTTTTTCCTAAGAAAACATTTTAATCAGTTTGTAGAATGACCTCAAAATCTATTAATTAATCAAAATAAATTTTAACGGAGTGTCCGATACAAACAAACGAGCCGCGAGAACAGTGTCCGTAAGGAGCAGTGGCCTTTGAATACACGCAACAGCCGCTGCGGCAGTGGATCGATGGGGCAAAATGAAACCAGCTCATTAGGGATTGATTTCAGCAGTGTTTAGATAAGCAGAGTGGGTCGGGGCCTGGCCCCTGGGGCCCTCACCAGGGCCCAAAGTTCACGCAGAGCCAGGTAGAGAGTGTCTCTGCAGGCCATCATCTTTATTAGCACCCAGATAAGCTGATTAGGCCTTGTCAATCAAAGGTGCCAGTGACTCAATCGCGAGGCCCTTCTTTTCTTTCTCTCTCTCCTTCCTTTTTTGTGATAAATCATTGAAGCGACCAACAAAGCAGTAGCCATGGCGGCTAAGCTAAGCAGCCCTGCAGTTGTCACCAAGGCAGACGACGCAAGGACCCTGTGATGATGTGACGGACTGTATTAAAGAGTACATCAATTTGTTTGAGAGCGGTTTGATTTTTTTCTACAGTGGTATTAAAAGAGCATGCGAGGGGGGAGAGAAGTTATTGTTGTCGTAGGCTTTACGGAGGAGCCGAGAGTGCCCCTGATAGAAATAAATAACAAAATGAATGATCGAATGAAGAAATAAATAAATATGTTTTGTAAACATGAAGAAACGCTGCTCTTTTTGAGCATGAGCACGGCTTTAAGACATGCTGTGTCAGTCCATGGGTGTCAGAGTGTCCCAGTAAAAGACACGCGATTGTCTCCGTCTCTCCGTTTCACTGCCGCTAGCTCTTTTTCTTTCTCCTCCATGTTACCGTTCTTTCATTTTCTGTCCTTCATCTCTCTCCTCAACACTTTCTGTTTGTTTTGTGCCATTTTATGAAACTGATAACTTGTTTCTTTGAATGGAATTCCCTTTTTTCTTAACCGTAATTTCTTTGTGTTGCCATGGCCTTTTATTCTTAAGCACTTTAAACGTTTATTATTATTATTATTATTGTTATTTTTCAGTATAATTTAATACCAATAATAAAAATAAAATAAAAAATGTCAACATTAAGGTGAGCGCATTCAATTATGTAATGAAAAGTTGTTAATATTTTTCAATAATTTCTTAAAATAATATAATATATAGTTGTATAATATAAAGCGATGTTGTAATAATAATAATAGTAACTAAATTAAAAATGCCAAAATGAAATTGAATGCATTCAATAATGTACTGTTTTTTAAATATTTATTTTCAGTAATCTCTTAAAAGAATATATTTAGTTATATAATCAAAAGTTTTGTGGTAGTAGTTTTAATACCATTACTACTACTACTAATAAATGAAAAATGTAAAACTGAAATTGAATACGTTAATTAATGTGCTGAAAAGTTGCTGTTATTGTTAAACAATATTTGAATAGTCTCTTCAACTAAAATTATATATTTAGTTATAATAATAATAATAATAATAATAAAGTAAAAATTAAAATCAATATGTTCATTAATGTACTGAAAAGTTGATGTTATTGATAAACAATATTTGCGTAGTCTCTTCAACTAAAATCAAATATTTAGTTATAATAATAATAACAATAGTAATAATACATTTATAGCTGTTTGTGCTGGTTAAAGAAATATTTTTTTAATCACACTAAATTCAGTTTGCTGAACAAGTAATACCTCCTCTGTAATTAATTGTTTCATTGCCTTTTATTATTTATTTCAGCCTAGTTGTTCCAGTTGATTTCCTTCATTGTATAGTCGTGTTTAAAGTTTCAGCACATCGCTACTGTTCTCTCTTTAATGAGGACAATTTGGTGAATTGGATTTCCTCGAGGTATAGCATACCAAATAACTTGGGTTTTTGTAGTTTGCTGAAATCTGAATGCCGTATTGTGTTTCAAAAAGAATATGCCGTTATTTGATAATTGTTTGATTCATGGAGCAGAGCCACAAGAG